GGAGTTATTTTCGTTTTAGCGTGACAAACAATATTGTTGGTCGCGCAAAAGTTTTGCTCGACGAAAAATATTGGAATATTGGTCGCACAAAGTTTTGCGCGATGAATACTGGAATATTGGTCCCGCAAAGTCAAAAAAAAATAAAAAATCCCACGTCCCATTTTTGGTACCCGCCCAAATTTTTAAATTTTTGCGTGACGAAAAATACATATTGGTAGCGCAAAGTTTAAAAAAAAATTATATAAAAAAATTTCGCGTCCCATTTTTGGTACCCGCCCAAATTTTTGAGCGCTGAAAAATACATATTGGTCGCGCAAAGTCTAAATTTTTTTTTTTTAAAATCCCGCGTCCCATTTTCTGTACCCGCCCAAATTTTTAGAGTTTTGCGAGACAAACTATTGGTCGCGCAAACTTTTGAGAGACGAAAAATTGGTTCGTAGCACAATATTTATAAAAATAATTGTTATGAATAATAAAAAATAAAATTATTTTATTTTACGATTTAAAATATAAATAAGGTTAAAGCTACTTAATAAATGTATATAATATTCAATTTCTTAAGTGTTATACATACAAAATAAATAAATTTAAAGTTATTTAAAAAGTAAATAAATATATATATACACACACGATTCAACGATCCAACCGTCAGACTTGTTTGTATATACTTCAAGATGGTATACCCCAAAAATCGTAAAAAACAAACATTCAGAGACCTAGTAATAAGACAAAAAAATTCGACGGTTACAAATGAAAAATCACAATTTAGCGGTTATTTTAATTCCTATTTTGATGATTTTTTACAACTACACTCCTTGACCCTATATGAATACAATGAACTAATTTGATCGTCAATTTAAAACATTTACACTAGTGGATACCACAAAATCTTATGTTATATTTAACAAAAGTGTAAATAAACTCTTAATTGTTAGTGAATCTATTGTTTTGATGGCATACGCATTCAACAAAACTTGTTTCAACAATCCAACTGTCAAATTTATTTGTTTATACTTCGAGATCATATACGCCAAAAATCGAAAAAAATAAACATTCAGAGATGAAGTAACGGGACAAAAAATTTCAACGGTTATAAATGAAAAATCACGATTTAATGGTTATTTTAACTCCGATTTTGATTATTTTTTACAGCTACACTTCTTGACCCTATATGAATACAACGAACTAATTCGATCGTCAATTTAAAATATTTACACTAGTGGATACCATAAAATCTTATGTTATATTTAACAAAAATATAAATAAACTCTTGATTGTTAGTGAATATATTATTTTGATGGCATACGCATTCAACAAAACTGGTTTCAACGATCCAACCGTCAAACTTATTTGTTTATACTTCGAGATCATATACGCCAAAAATCGAAAAAAAATAAACATTCAGAGATCAAGTAACGGGACAAAAAATTTCAACGGTTATAAATGAAAAATCACAATTTAACGGTTAATTTAACTCCAATTTTGATTATTTTTTATATCTACACTCCTTGACCCTATATGAATACAATGAATTAATTCGATCGTCAATTTAAAATATTTACACTAGTGGATACCACAAAATCTTATGTTATATTTAACAAAAGTATAAATAAACTCTTAATTGTTAGTGAATATATTGTTTTGATGGCATACGCATTCAACAAAACTAGTTTCAACTATCCAACCGTCAAACTTGTTTGTTTATACTTTGAGATCATATACGCCAAAAATCGGATAAAATAAACATTTAGAGATCAAGTTATGCGACAAAACTTTTCGACGGTTATAAATGAAAAATCATGATTTAACGGATATTTTAACTCTGATTTTGATGATTTTTTACAGCTACACTCCTTGACCCTATATGAATACCATGAACTAATTCGATCATCAATTTAAAAAATATATTTTCTAACAAAAACCCAATTCGAACAACTATAATATATTTTTCTAACAAAAATCCGATACAATCTAAAGTAATAAATTTAGAGCTACTTAATAAAAATATATATACCGTTTAATTTCTTAAGTGTTATGCATACAAAATAAAAAACAAAAATAAATTGGTTTAGGCGACAAAATGTTTGGATTACGCCATGCAAAGATTTTAAAAAAGAATTTTTTTATTTTATTTATTTTTATAAGGACTTTGCGCGATGAAGTTTATTATTTTGTCGCACAAAGTCACTTTGAGCGACGATGTATTGTCGTCGCGCAAAGTCGCTTTGTGCGATGAATTATTTTTCGTCGCTCAAAGTCACTTGCGTGACGATTTTTTTTTCGTCGCGCAAAATTTGGTCTCGCAAGACTTCATTGTCGAGCAAAATTTGGTCGTGCAAGGGTTATTTTTTACTAGTGATATATTCTACGCCTTCTTTTGTAGCAACAAAAGGCTTTTGCATTTAAATATCTAACGTGAAAGTTCTTGTGAACATCATAAAGATTACAACAAATGACGTCTTAGATGACAAGCTCGATGGTAGAATAACAAAAAGCATCGTGTTAACATTGTACCACGCCTTTTTTTAATGGGAGTTTCACTAAAACACCCAAAATAGGGGCTTAAATTATAAAAAAAACCCAAGCACTATTTAAACATATAAACACATCCAAAACCCATCATTACACACACTCAAAATCCATTTATAAACACACCCAAAAAGTTGACTTTGAGGTTGATTTTGGGTGTGTTTCTATGTTTAAATAGTACTTTGGTTTTTCTATAAATACATGTCTAGGATTGAGTTTATTTATAAATTTGTATTTTTTAATCTCATAAATGAAGTGGAAAAGCAACAAAAAAACAATACTATCGTAATAGATATTTATAACGTGGTCCTTGGTAAAGTAGTCGACGTGAAAACTTGTTTGAATGTTGTACTTTAAATGGACGACGTTATATATAGGTCAATTACATCGTTTCTTTTTAACCAATGTCGTTCCTAGTGTACACGGCAATTGACCAACAAACTCAGACGTCTAAGGTTATTGAAACGATGGTCTTTTTGTTCCCAATGACGTATAAATCATAAAACATGGCTGCCTTTTCATTTTACCAACGTTGTACCGGAATGGCAACGTCGTGTGTAGAAACAAAAGCGTCGTACGAAATGACTATAACCTCATTCTTCACAATTTACTGCCGTTACTAAGATTTACCATGTCAACGTTTATAGAAACGACAAACTAGAAACCGGATTTTAACGACGGTTCTATAAATAAGGGTGACGTAGTAGAACCTAATAACATCGTTTTTGGTTTAGTTAATGACTTCAGAATTTATATTTCACGTCTCTAATTTGCTCATGTGTCATGGAATATAAATAAAAAACGAAAAGCCTTATTTTTTTGGAAAATTGACTAACATAATCACTAAAGATAAATCTTAATCAGAAATACTCACTTTACAAAACTTAACCACAAATATTCACTTTCCAACTTGAAAATACCAAGTTACCCTCCATATAAATACTTTAATATTCACCTTTTATCACGTCTCAAAAATTCATTTCTCAATCTGAACCCAACTCTCCAGCTCTTTGACTCTCACTCCAACCAGACTGCACCTTCCTCGTTGGCACCCAGCCCCTCCAGCGACGCCATCCATTTCCCTGATCAAAACCCAGTTCTCCTCCGAATTCCTCCTTTTTCCCAATCAAACGACCATAACTGTTTGAAGAAGGTAATTTTATTAGTTTTTTTGTTGTTAATTTTCTGTGTATGTTTGTGAGAAATTTTTGGCCCGCACAGGGCTGATTTTGGCATGAGTTGGGGATGTAATTTCAACTTAGGATTGTGGTTTAGGGTTTCTAAGAAATGGATTTAAGCTTGTGGTTGTTGATTCCTTTTTTCAAGAAATTAACAATTCAAGCTTGCTATGGTTGCTGACAGAAACAAATGCTAAGCTTGGTGGGTTTCTCAGTTTTTCCTACTTACAAGCTTGATAAATTTCACTTTCGGGTGTTTGATATTATGAGGAAAATTTATGATTTTTTGTTATAAAACATAGAATTTTGACAATATGGTCGGTCCAAATCTGATTAGCAGGGTATTTCTGATCAAGTGGAGCTGTTTTTTCTTTGGATTATAGAGCCCCAGTCCCAGAAGATAGAAGTTGTTCTTTATTGTGGACAAGCATGGGTTGTA